ATATTAAATCTCATGCTTTAATGCTTAAGTGATTTGCTGTTAGAGAACAGGCTATTAGAGGACCTATGGGTGAGTTACACTTTGCCAATCACTAGAGATTCCTATATTTTCCTTAGAAAGATCTAGTAGCAGTCACTCTTAGAAATGGGTTGCTGAACCATCTAAACTTCCAGTTTTATCATACAGGGCAGTTCTCTTCCTCTGGCTCCGGGCCAAAGGAGTGTAAAACGCAGTATGGATTCCAAGAAACGTGGTCGTGTGCTCAAGTTTGTGGAGATGAATTATTTTTATAGCCTTTAAGTTAAGCAATCAGCTTTAAAGGCATCTTTACGAATACATATCACTGATTAAAACAGACAAAAAGCCTTTATCTGTAAGTGACTTGCAGCCTGGTTGCATGCCCAAGTTCTGGGTCTGGAGCTGACTAACTCTGCTTTTCCCATCTAAAATAAAATACTGCTCTGCACTGAATAGTCTTTCGCCAGTTGCTGTTACATTTCAGGCCTGAAGTAATTCTTCCTGTTACGTGCAAACTCCTGTTTCAGTCATTGCAAGTTGTGCATAGTAGCATATAGCATTCACAAGAAACCGCTTTTTGACTTAATTTCACTGTACTTCATGTTTTTCCATGCTATTTGTGCCATTTTGTGCCAGTAATTTTACTGTTTTATTTTCTTCAGGGCCATTCTTGCTCAGGATTGATACCCATTTCCTCAGGACTACTTTGGAGTTTTAAATATTCAGCCATTCTCTTGTGACCCACTGATTTTCTTCCCCATAATCTTTTGATATCATTCTTGTGCTTGAGACACAAGGAAAACATCCTATAACACTAAAAATACATGTAGTGAAGGGGGATTCAGGTTTTCAGATTTGAAACCCTGTATCACCAGTTGGGGGGGGGAGCGCCAAGGCAGACAAGTACTGTTTCATGTTAACATCTATTCTCAATGAAGAGGTAAAAATCAAAGCCCCTGTGTGTGAGGCAGGGTTAGTGAACTGCCAGTGATTCTCCCAGCAACTGACACAAAGGAATCTGTGAGTATCAAAGCTGAGGCAGCAAGCTTAGTGTCAGCTCTTGCCTAGGGAGTAGAAGAAAACATCACTTTGTCTCTGCTTTCACTGCTTAAACACACACATCATTCACTAGTAACCATTTACTCTGCTGTCAAAACTGTTTCAAGAGAGTGCTACATTTGATTAATAGTAAAATGCGTGCATGCAAAAAAAAAAAAGTCTGCTTCCCCTGAGATACATTTTGGAGAATTTTTGCATGTAGTTCTTAATTTTTCCATCCTGTAAATATGCCTGTAATGTTCCAGGAGTACTCTGTTGCTTCTAGTAAAGTCATTTTTATTAGAGCACCCAGTGCACTCATCCTAATTCTAGTTAATGCTCTCTCTCTCGGTGAATCATATTATGGCATCCTCAGCCTCTTGTACTAACAAAAAAGTGACCAGCACAAACATGTGTGCAGTACATGATTCATAGTGCTGCTTTCTGAATTGTCCAGTGGGTAATTGCAGTACAAAAACCAGAGAAACAGATGTAGACCCTAAACCTTGGCTGTAAATTTTTGTTTTATGATCATGGGTTTCAAATGTGCTATGTCACACTGACAAATATACAGTAACACCAAAAGAAATAGAATTCTGACTTGAACTTTTGCTTTTTATTTCACTTGTGGCTAAGAATATGTTTATTGTAAAGTTTCTGCCATCATGGTTTGAGAGAAAACAGATCAAAGTGGTGAAGTCACAATTTCTTTGCACGGATAAAGTGGAAGATATTGGAGAGCTGTTGCCTACTTGCACCTCTGTGGGAGCTGGGTAGGCATTTAAAATATGTGGCAGTTCTTAAAGTTTCATTACATTTGAATTAGAGGGCTATTAGTTATCACAATTATTATGGTTAGTCCTGATCTAAATTAGAAAATACCCACCATTTTATGAATGTAGCTTTTCCTGATACTCTGTTTAAGAAAAACAAGTATCATGCTATTTCAGAGTGAAATATGAGATATTAAATTACTGTATTGTAGAAGTAGTATGCGAGCAAACCATTAGGCTATTTGAAGAATTTGTTAATTACATGTGGTTTTAGTAATAAGTATAAGCATTAGCACAACTATTACTCGTAATAAAACATGATGAGCTACCTGGTTCATTTAGATACGGTGAGAAAATGCCATCTTTTTCAATTCATAGGCAGTTAAGCGTGACTTCCTGACATTTACCTTCAGAAGTTGCCAGTCTACATTTTGAGGTACAATGGGCAGGTTTTATTTTTAAATATGGTATTATAAGACTGCTAATGGAATAAACATAACTGTATTTCTGTTTGTCTGATTTTGTTTATTTTAACTCACATGGGCAATATGTTGTTCTTGGCAGAAGCTTAAACTGTTCCTAGAGCCTTGGTCCACACAAAATGCCATTTTTTCCCTAAATCGGAGACTGACAAAACATACTGTGTTTTGTATCATCCTTTCCAGTTATTTTTGTGGCGATGTGTTATATATTCCAAACTTCTCGTGCATTCTGTGTCATCTGGTTAGAAAATACTGTCTTTTAATTTAGCTTTGCTACTCAAAACAAAATTGTAGCAACGTAGCCAGCTGAGATTTTAACAAAAAATCAGCCACTTTTCCACTTGCCTTTTTAATACAGCGAACGCTGCTTGCTGTGCTGACGTGGTTTAAACAAGCCTTCCCTGAAGGATGGCTTTTTTGATAAACGTGTGCTGTGCGTAATTTTTGGATTACAGACTGTCAGGGGCTTCTTCAGCTGGAGGAGTCTGGGCTGGGGAAGGACACCCCAATGGACTGAGAAAGTCCTTAAAAAGTCCTTAAAAACACGCTGTTAAACTCCAGCGTTTGTAACTCTTCTGCCTCTGGAGGGAAGACGGGAAGAGAGGCTGCCTGCTGCAGGGACAGCCAGAAATCTCCCATCGGAGAAGAAGGAGGCTAAGAAAAGCTTTTGTTTTTATCTCTTCAAACGGATTCGCTTCCAGATTGCAGCAGGTCTTTTTGCTGTTGCTGGTTTTCAACGTGGGTATATCAGTTTCAGGGAACAAGTGTGTGTGCTTCTGTGTTTTGTTTTGGTTTTTTGTAGTTTTTTTTAAATTCTTGAACCTGTGTGAAAAGTTTTGTTAATACAATCTGCAGGCATTGTCAGAGAGCTTTCGGTTCATCAAAGGACTTTTGTGGAGAGGAGACACTGCATCCATTAAAGTTGGCTGCGCAGGTCCCAGAGTGAGTCTCTCCCCAGCGTTTCTTTAGAGTCGCCAGTTGTGTGCCATGTCTGCGCACAGCGTCCCCCACTCCACCCGACTCCCATCTTGGGCTTTTCAAGAAACGGGCAGTAATCAAGGGTTTCATTTTCCAGTTTCCGAACCTGAGCTAGCTTTGGGGCGGGAAGCGGAGCTCCTCCGTGCCTCGGGAAACCTTTGCTCCAGGCCGGTGCTCAGTCCGCCAGGGCTGAGGCGACTTGGCTCACTCGCTTAAAATGAAAGCGTGCACGTGGTCCTTGAGCTCATGTCCTTTCCAGTGGGGCAGAGGGAGTGTTTCCAGGCTGTTGGTTTTAATTTTTAAAGTGTCCATAGGAATTAAGGACTGGTGGAGGCCTCGATGGAGTCTCTCTCTGTGAGAGCCAGACTTTGCAGAAGGTGGTTATTTACCTGAAAAGCACAGGGCTCCCTGCTGGCTTGATGTAAATGGTGGGCCAGCACAGTGCTGGCGGTCGCATCCTGGCCACAGACCTGGGGAGGCCTTGACACCTACTCCTGCCACGAGGCAGAGCTGCTGGGAGCGCCGTTTCGCTGAGTCCTGTGCAGGTATTTTGGTAGGAGCAGCCCTGTGCCTTCAAAATGGCTGTGAGGGGGCAGCCGGGGCTGCCTGCCCCGGGGAGGGGGCGGCCGCGGTCTCCCCTCCCAGCACCCTGGGGTGGTTCCCGTTCCTCACGGACCTGCTCGTGGCCTTTCTCCCCGCCAAGGACCTGGGGCTCATTAGCCCTCTGAAAGCTGATACAGCCCTTACGGGGCCGTGCAAGCAGCCCTGGCCCCTCGCTGCTAATCAGAGACAGGCAGGACCCGGTGGCCCCTGGGCTGGGGAGAAGAGGGGTCATGGGGCTGCCTCCTGCCCCAGGCTGGGTGGTGGGCACGGGCCCTCCCGGGCGATGGTGCCTGCCAGATCCAGCCCGCCGGGGAGGCCTGGGAGCAGTGGGCAGTGT